ATTTGAGTGGAGTGTTGTATTAGGTAGTCAACAATTAATGTCAAATTTATCAAGCAATCATGATATGAATATTTTAATACATTTTGTTAATGTTAGGGTTTTTCCTGAAAGCAATACGCTGTATAGCCTCAATACAATGAAAAAAGTGTACAAGGGTCGTTGTACTAGCGCCCAGGTGCAGTGTTAAACTAAGCAATGGTTCCCACATCATGAATGGATCTAAGAAAAGAAGCTAGCCCATAAAATTAGATTTAGAATAAAAACTTGGAATATAGGTACTCTTATAGAAAAGCTAATTAAATTAATAGATATTATACTTCATTAGAAGATAAATATTCTACATATCCAAGGAACTAAATAGGTTGGAGAAAGGTTAAGGAGATTGATATTTTAGGATTTAAACTTCGGCATCTAGATATGAAGTCGTAATAGAAATGGTGTATGTGTGATTAGAAATAAAAATTTGAAGGATAATATTGTAGAAATTAATAGAATTAGAGATAAAATTATAGCTTTAAAATTATAATTCATGTTAGGATTATTAATGTTATAAGTGCTTATGCTCCTCAAGTAGATTTCAATATGTGTTTAAAAATAAAATTATGAAATAATTTAGAAGAATAAATACAAAGGATAAATCTTGAAGAATTAGTTTTTATTGAAGGAGACTTAAATTGATCTATTGGTAGTAGTAGAAGATTTTAAAAGTATTTATGACTGCTATAAGTTTGGATTGAATAATGAACGTGATACAACCATATTAAATTTTTTCTTTCTTATGATTTTATATTAAAAAATGTTTTATTTAAAATAATAGAAGAGTATTTTATCACTTATAGGAATGAACATAGTAAAACTCATATTGATAATTTTCTTAAAAGAAAAATAGATCATTTATATTGCATAGATTATAAAGTCATTTCAAATAAAAGTTTATTTACCAAGCATCACTTATTAACATTATTTAAATATGTCATTTAAGATTAGATGAAAGTATTTAAAGAATACTAATAAAAATATTTTTGATTGTTGTTCAAGATCTTAAGATTTAGATTATTATGAGGAAGTTAATGTTATGAGGAAAAAAAATAGCTAATAATATTAAAAATGTTGCAATGTGCTTGAAGAATAAAAATGAACAGTTCTTAACAGTAAAGTAGTTGGTAATAGAATTAAAATGTTCAAGAAAATATTAAAAAATAAAAAATTTTGTTATATAATTTGTTTATATGTAAAAGTTTCACTATAGGAAAACATGCGATTACCATCGAAATTTCCGGCGGAGTGTTTTGCGCCGGTAAAATACGGCGCCTGAAATGGCGCATACTGCGACGAAAAATTTACGACGTATTTTACGGCGCATTAAACGTCAGAAAGTGTCCGACGTCACATGCGCTGGAAAGTACGTCGGCGAAAACCAACATTTTAGTGGTCCAGACGCACGTTACGGCGGAAAAATAGCCGGCGCATTTATCGACGGATAATGCACCGGGCTTTTTAAACTCAACGACTTTGTACCGGCGCATACTGCGCCGGAAAGTTTTCCGGCGTTTTGGACGCCGGAAAATCCACCGGCGAAAGCCCTATTTTCGAGCTCGAGCTCCTCTAGCCGCTCATTTCTTTCGTGGCTTTCATGAGACCTTACATGCTCAACAAATAAGTGCCCTTCAAGCAGAGCTAGAACAAGTAAGGAAATCACAAGCTGATTAGCAAGCTCAGTTGCAATCACAGATTCAAATGCAGATCTAGGAGCAACACAATCAGTTGTTGGATGAAATGCGCAAAATGAGGGAGCAGATGAGTGGAAAAAAGGTAGCTCCAGCTGAGGAGGAATCCACAGATTCAGAGTAGTTTAGTTTATTTTATGAACTTGTTTATTTTTTTGAATCTGTAATATTGAACAATATGTGATATTTTTAGTTGGTTGTTACTATTAAACAGTTTCTTTTAATAAGTATTTATGTTTTTGTGCATCTGTTGAATTGTTATAAACTGTTGTAGAATTATTATAAACTGTTGTGGATAGATATTTGTATAGGTTTGTAGGTGTGGAAATTTGATTGTTGGCTGAGAAGGAAATTTTTTTTTAACAATGCTATAGGTTTCCAACGGATTTTGCGCCGGTACTTCGACGGAAACGACGATACAACTAATCGTATCGATCATGCCGGCGTCTTTGTGAGCGCCGAAAATTGCCGGCGCCTTTTCCGGCGTCTTGTCCGCCGGAGATTTCCGACGCATAGTTTGCGCCGTAAACAACCCGTAGGTTATTTACGGCGTACCAACGACGCTTTATCCGTCGGTAATTACCGGCAGACTCATACAACGCAAAGTTCCGGCGCAGTTATCACCGGAATTTACCGGTTGAAAGTCGCCGGCTGCACAGTGTTTTTTGCACCGGTAATGCGCCGGAAAGTGCGTCAGAAACTTTTCTGGCGCATTATAAACGTCGGAAGATATTTACCGACGCGAACCAAACCGGCGCATAAAATTCCGCCGGAACATGTGCCGGAAATCTATATTTCTGTCGGATTTCACATTTTATCGGCGGATTGTATCCGCCGGTAACACCGGGTTTTCATGTAGTGTTTGAAAAAATTGAGTTAAAGGTAGGGGTTTCACCGTTTCAATATATGATACATCTCGAAAATCCAACCCAAAAATTATGGGTTCATGTCGATCGGTTTAATAAACGGGTTGGGTTTGGGTTTAATTTTTTGACCTGATTGAAATATCAGGTATGGTTCGGGTTAACTCGCGAACCAGAATGCAACCCATTTGACTCTTCTATCGGGTCGCACTCGTTGCTTGTGCTTGCTGCTCAGCTACACCAGCCCACCTTGTTGGCTTGTCTGCTTACCCTGCGGCCTCGTCTGCTCGCCGCTCGCCCCTCGCCCTAGCCACTTGTCCCATGGCCTCACCCCTCACCCTCGTCCACTCTCCCTCACTTACTTGACTTGCAGCCTCGTCTGCTTACCTATTAGCGGGTTGGGTCATGTCAGTCTGGTTGGTGTCTAGATTTTTAACTTGTTTGAATGAACTAGTCTATTTTGGGTCGGACGTATTAAGAGCAGGTTAATTTTGGATTTGAACTGAACTCGACCCAGAAACCTATTTGACACCTCTAGTTAAAGGCTTGTTGGTCACATAAAATGTTAGTTTTCAAATTATCATGTCAGGAGAGTAGATGTATTAGATCTAACTTATATTAAGAATGGTAGAGATAAAGCTAAAAGTACTTGGTTAGAAATTATTAAAAAAAGGCATTTTTTATTAGATTTAATGAGAATTTGACTCTTAATAAGACACAATAAAGAAAAGGATTCATATAGCCAACTCCACGAAGTGGGATTAAGGCTTGTTGTTGTTTACACTATGGACTTTGTGCCAACTTAAAGACTAGCCTCAATTAATTTTTATTTTTCTTATCATCAGGAGGGCTAATTAATTATAGAGGTTTGTGCCTATAAAAAACCTAAAACTATATTATAAAGTACTAATAAAATGAAGGCAAAATCTCTAGGTAGCGTTTATCTTAAATCTAATTCACCTTCTGCAAATTTGACCCATAACATCCTTAAAACTCTCACAACGAGAGGCTATGGTGCAAATTTTGGGAACCCACACATCCTTTAGATAACATGGTCCCCTTGCCACGATTTTTATAATGTGAAGTGTTTGCATTATGTAGAGTGGCATTATCTATTGTTAAAGAATCATATGTTCAAAAGAAAGTTTAAAACATGTCTTCAAGATGTTCTAACCTTTATCCTTCTTGGTTGATGGCATTCTTCAGCCTCGGAAAGAATCACCCATGTTTGTAGTTTATTGACTACCGGTGAATTACTTTATCTGTGCTTATTATTTTGAGTGAAACCAAGGTAAACTAATGGGATGGTAGTATTGTTTTTATACACGTTTACCTTGGTTTTCCTCATAACGATATAAGAGCCATCTGGAAGGCCTTTGGAGGGGTTGAGATGTCACTAGTGTTAGGTTATGTTTGGGTATAACAAGAGTTTTAGGAATTATGGGATTTTATTTGTAGAGGTAGGGCTTGGTGTATGGATTGGTTTTGTGTAATTATGATGTTGGCCAAGAGGTGAGTTGAGGAATAAAGGTTTAATATTAAGAGGGGGTATTGGAGGATTGTAGAGATCATGGTTTGTGAGTTAAGGTTTGTATGCGGAGGTGATGATTTGTGTTTATAGTTCGCATGTAGAGGTTATTTTTTTCTTAATTTGTAGTTTGTGTATGGAGGTGAATCTGAGAACACTAGGAACTAGGGTTTGGTTTGGTGGTAAAGTTGTGGGCTGAGCTAGAGTTTGGAAGTTAGTTATGGGTTTATGGAGGGTGCGCGGGGAGTTAAGAATAAGTTTAGGAAGTGTTTAAGCTTGTAGAGAAAGAGGGAGTTGTGTTCGGGTTTAGTTGGGGTGCCAAAACTAAGAACTTTGCGATTTGGATTTTTGTTTTGAATGGAGAGGCTAAAAGATGAAATAGAGTCTAGGTTTTGTTTAGGAATGGGGAGATGTGGAAGTTAGGGTTAAAGTTTAAAAACAAATTAGAAGGTAATATTTTCTCACCCAAGGAAAACTTCTATAATAATCAATCACACAGTTGTTTTATCAAAAAGGTTTTATATGATCATCTTCTAAGAGTTTCCAATGCTCAAGACATAAAAATCAATCCTCCAAGAAGCTTGATAATATTATTTTGTTTCTATGATTATGCAGAGAAGCGACAAGCACTGAAAGATAAAGTAGAATCTGGAGACATACAAGACCTCTTAAAAACAGCAAATGATAGCCATCTATGATATTGGAATGATTAACGTAGTCATCCATACAAGGAACTATTTTCCAGTAGAAAAGATGAATAAGTCACTCGTTGACAAACTAGTTTAGAAACATACTTGTAACTAAATCTATTCAATGAAGTATACACACATGCATCTCCTAAGTTTAAGCAAGCCAGTGTTGGAAGAGCAATCAAGATCATACTTAAAGAAGAAGATTTTCAACCAAGCCGCATGAACTCCTTGGCCTTATTTGGGCCTGCATTGGATGGAGTTTGTGAGTTGTAAGCCCCAAGGTATCTATATTATCTTCTTCTCCATCCTTCAACTTCCACTCAAACTCCTGTATTAATCGACCAATAGTTCTGCAAGAGATTAGCATTGCCTGAAGAGATCCTGCGCACACCCTTTTCCCTCCTCCGAAAGCCATTGTCTTGTGCATGTCCATTGGCTCATACTTGTCTGATAGAAACCTTTCAGGCTTCCATTTTTCTGGTTCGTCCCAATCCTTCTTGTCCATATTGCATGCATATAGATTAATGGTGATCTGGGACATGTTAAATGGGTTTAAGTAAGAGACATTTATAAGCATAAATCACATAACTAAGTAAAGAAATATATTGAGTGTAAAATCAGAAAGGTGATGAATGAATCACATCAGTCCCAGCTGGAATGTTATATCCACCCAACTGGGTATCTTCATGAACATGTCTAGGAGGAATTATAGGAACTGGAGGGTGAAGTCTGAGGGTCTCATGGAAAGCAGCATTTAGATATTGCAAATATGGAAGATGTTCCTCGGTGATTTTCTTCATTCCACATACTTTCCGTATTTCCTGATAAAGACGATCCTGCAAAGAGAAGATGGATCAGAATTCTGAAGGTAACATTTAATAGGAGAACTAAAGAATGATTATGTTTGATACCTGCTTGGTTGGATTCTTAGCAATTTCATACATAGCCCACTCAGTTACAACCATTGTGGTATCAGATGATTCAACTATTGCTTCCCAGATCAATGCAATGAATTGATCTTCTGTTAATGTGGTTTCTTCTGACAAGAGATAATCCAAATAGCAGCTAATTTCCTGTAGAAGGGATCATTATATCATGCCAAGTAAAACATGTGAGTATATTGAAGGAGTTATTAGTTAGGGCCAACCTCTCCACGACCAATACGCTCTTTTTGTAGGTTAATCAGAGCCTTTGTTACTGCAGTTTTTCGTTTTGCCGTCCGCTGAATTTTCATTTCCATGCTCTTATTTGGAATCCATCTCAAATATGGGAAGAAATCCCTCCAGTCAACCTCAATAACTCCTATCAATGGATCAAGAACTAAGATCTCAAGCATCTCTTTCTTTAAAATTGTCTGCCCAAGTTCCTCCACATAAATAGAGTCTACAGCATTGCCTAAACTCTGGAAAAAATGGTTCAACATTTTTATAAAGTTTTTTTTTTTAATAAATAGGACATGATTTATAAGATCTGTATAGACTGAGATGTACTTGTTTTAGGGCCAATTGGAACAACTCAGACTGGAATGGCTCTCTGAGTTCAACCAAGCTACAATCTTCATCATTGATCTTAGCAGACAATTTAGACACAACATTCTCTATCATAGTATTCCTGTGATGAAGATTTCGCTTCTGAAATTGAAAGTAGAATGAGCTATTCCAGTAAATTTTTTAATATTCAGAAGTAAATGAAAGAGGGTCACATTTTAGAAATATTTGATAAAAACCTGTGCATTTGCTCCCAAAACACCTGAAATAACATATTTCTTAACCATTTTGTGGTATTCACCATAGTCGCATGTGGATACAAGTGCTTTATTTGAAGTGATGGTTGTCAGAGCATTTGAAAGCTTCCTAGTTGATATAGATGAGAACTTGGTGACTAGAGCCTGCAAAATAGAAACTAATGTTTTGATAATTGATGGATTAAATGCAGAATATATCAGATTTTTTTCATTGCCATTATTTATTTTTCCAACAAATTTGATGATGCAGTAGAAACTATTTGATGGAAAAGGAAGATAGTTTTGGTTTAGCTGTAGTATTGACTAGCCAACACCATTGCATAATATGTCAATCACTAGAAAACATTCCCTGCAGAAAAGTGAAACTTCCCTCCTTTATACTTACCAACATAACTGAAATTTCTATTTGGAAAAGGCAAAGTCTAATAAAAACACCCAGGATGAAAAAGAAGATAAAATATAAAAGAGGATCAACACATTAATGCATACATAAAAATTCTTTCAATTGATTGTCATTTCTTTTTATCATTGTTGTAAATTTCATCATTATTTGATTGTAGAGAACTATAATATAAAGAGATATTTTTTTATAAAAGATACAATTAGGACGGACAAAAGACAATTGCTTAACAAAAAAATATCCAAAATTCTGAAACTAAATTAGATTTAAGCTAATGAATGTTTTGTGCAGATCATGACGGTTGAATTGCATAAATAAAAGAATTTGATAAATAAACAGAAAGCTACCTCTTTGGCGATTTCTGTTGAGTTGAGAACCACCATTGAAGTACTTCCTAGTCTGATTGAGTATATGGGACCGTAAACCTCTGCCCATTTTGCAAATGTGAGGTAGGGTTTCCTCTCCTTCAACTGTAGCAGGTTCCCAAGCAAAGGTAATCCAGGAATAGCTAAAACACGATAAGAAATCAATATCCAAACAACAAATTAAAGCAGCTCCCAAAACACCAGAAAACAAAATCCTGATTATTTATTCATTTTTTCTATTTGGAAATGCAATTAAATCAGTGCGTGATATTCAATTAAAACAAAATGTTTATGAAAAAATTATGGCCTTTAAATTGAAATCTTTTTTACGTTATAATATGTTTAAATAAATATCAATTATGTATGTGCTTAAATTGCTAGATAAAGTTTTAAACTATAATCATTCATTGATTTTTTAACTGTATTATGATAGAATATTGCTTAATAATCCTCTCAGATTACTGTTTACTCATTTTTGGCTGTGCAGGGATTATGAAGGAATTAATAGCAGAGAAGTGGAGCTTGATTAAAGTATTGTAGGTGCAGGAGCCTGATAGGGAATTGGTGTTTGGGGAAGCAGCAGGCCAGATGTTGGGAGTTTTAGTATATATTTATATGCATTTTATTATTTTATTTATAATATTAAATTTTATATGATTTTATGAATTGATTCCTTAAGTATAGTATTTAAGGGCTTTTTAAAGGTTTGAAGATTATTGTGAAAATATGAATGCACCAAGATTTTTAGAGTCAAAACATTTTAATATTATTTTGAAGACTAAAAGAATGCCAAATCAATGGAGAATGAGTGTGTTAATTCCTATTTTTAAGAATAAAGGTGATGCACAGGAGTGTGCGAATTATAGAGGAATTAAGTTAATGTGTCATACTTTAAAACTATGGGAGCGAGTTATGGAGCGTAGGTTGCGGCGTGATACTAATGTTTCTCAAAATCAATTTGGATTCATGTCGGGTAGGTCTACTCTCTACTATGAAAGCCATATATTTATTGAGAGGTTTGATGGAGAGATATAGAGAGAATAAGGAGGATCTACATATGATATTTATTGATTTAGAGAAAGCACATGATAAAGTTTCAAGAGAAGTGTTATGGAGAGTTCTTGAAAAGAAAGGAGTTTATAATGCTTATATTCAAATAATTAAAGATATGCATGCAGGATCTATTACTTGAGTTCAAACACAAGGTGGTTTGACCAAGTGTTTTCCTATTTTAGTTGGATTACATCAAGGATCAGCCTTAAGTCCATATCTTTTTGCTTTAGTAATGGATGTTCTCACTAGACATTTGCAAGAAGATGTACCTTGGTGTATGCTTTCAAGTAGATTGAGCAATGGTGGTTAGAAAATCATATTCAAACACTGGTAGTTGAAGGAACATAGTCAAGTGATAGCAGATAGAGGATCATATTCAAACGAAGATAGATGAAGGATCTTAGTTGGGCGATGGTTGTTTGAGGATTGTAATCGAATAACAGTAGTCAAAAGATAGTAATTGGACGATGATTATTACGAGATTGTAATTGGGTTATGATGGTCATGTGATAAGATAAAACTTACTAATTTTAATTTGTCTATATTATCATATTTATACTTTTAATCTTTGTGTTTTGTGCAAAAAAATAATGAAAAAATTATGAAATTTGAACAAGTTCCGTAGCTCCAAAGCTCATTCTAGTGCTACAGTGAAGAGCTCACAAAAAAATGGGTTGGAGAGCTTAGCTCTGAGGTGCTATCCATGAAGTGCTGCAATGCTAGATCGAATGCCATAGCACCAAATCACCTAGCGCCACAGTCACAGATGGTTGAATTGGTGAATATAAATGAAGAATGTTGAATAGAGATGCTTGTTCAACAACATCGCAGTGCCACCAAGCCAACATCGCGATGTTACTTCATTATTTTGCAAAACTATAAATAGTAGTCTTAGAGTTCATGTTAGAGGGTTGGTACATTGTGGAGTCATTTGCGTGTGTGTGAGTGAAGAGCTGTTCTTAAGAAAGAGTGGCTTTTGTATCTGTGTTTGGTGTACTATATTAGTTTTGATCAAAGTGGAGAAGTAGAAAGGAGTTGTTTCTTAGATCTGGGTCATTTCTAAATCTTGTATCTCTTATTTATCTCGTGTTTAATGTTGTAGCTTATATTTTATTAAGTGAAATAAAATGTTTGTGTTGTGTAATATCATATCCTATTTGTAATTTATATTGCTTAACAAATTACTCGTTTGATCTAATTTTCTTTTCAATTTTACCTGCTTAGTGTTGCTTTGCTTACTTATTAATTATTACTGCTTAGTATTTTCATTTTATATTATGTTGCTTATTGTTGTATGTATAGTATTAAACCAGTAGAATTTTTGGTTGACAATGAAATTGAAAAGATTATAAAAAAAATTAGAAAAACTAAATTATTTCAAAAAGATTTAAAAATGGTTCAACAACTACCAAAAATATTAAACCTAGGCCGCTTAGGGAATAAATTAATCCTATGATTGAAAGTATTTATGAAAGTATGAATAGACCTAGCATTAAAGCCAATAATTTTGAATTAAAACTTGTCATAATTTGAATGGAATAAAACTATTAATTTGGGAGAACTCTAATAGAAGACCTTAATTTGTGTATAGTTACTTTTCTTAAAATATGTGCAATCTTCAAATACAATGGTGTTATTGATGATGTTGTTGGACTTAAGTTATTTCAAATTTTACTGAGTGACAAGCTCAAAATATTATTAAATTCATTGCCCCCGTGCTCAATTTCAACATGGAATGATCTTGTACCTAAATTTTTAGCTAAATAATTTTTACCATCTAAAACAGCTAAGCTTAGACATGGCATAACGTCTTTTACCTAATTATACGACAAGTATATTTTTGAATCGTGAAATAGATTTAAAGAACTCCTTAGGAAATATCCTACTTATTCCCTCCCTAAATTGTTAATAATTCAACCCTTTATAACAATATTTTAGGTTCCTTTAGATCAATCATTGATGCTGTTATTGGTGATTCTTTGATGTCAAGGCCCTTTGATGAGGTATATGCTTTGATTGTGGAGTTGGTTACTAACAATTTTCATTGGTCATCCAAAATAATTAATACTATAAAGGTTTTTAGTGTTTATGAATTCAAAGCTGTATTAATTTAAACTAATCAAGAAGTTATCATTTCTAGGAAACAAGATAACTTTGGAATTAATTCATCTCATAATTCACTTGTGGCTGTAGAAGAGGCCATCTTTGGTGCCTATAGTGATTTTAATGCTTCTGGAGTATAATCCATTAGTGCAATTAATAGTAGAACCAATAAACACTTTTCATACATATAATATAGGCTAGAAAAATTATCCCAATTTTAATTAGATTAATATATAAAAGGGTAATAATAATTGGAACTCCAACCAACCAAATCAAGTGGAAAACTAGAATAACCCTCCTCAAAATTTTTCAAACCCACGGTCTAGTTTTCCTCATAAATTTCACTCAAACAATCAACTAAGGATAAAAATCCTTTATTGGAATAATTTAGTTTTGCAAATGAGTACACAATCATAGAGTTAAGATGCTGCTATTAGAAAATTGAAACTCATTTTGGATAGCTAACTGAATTTTTAATCAATAGACCCTAAGAAACTTTACCTAATAATACATAAATAAATCTAACAAAAGAGAAAAAAAAATCTAACAAAAGAGTAAGGAAGAATGCAAGGCTATTCAATTGAGTAGTAGTGAGCTTGAAAAAGGGAATATGAATAAGGATGAATCTAAATAAAAATTATCTATATAAGAGCTAATAGAGATTCCCCAACCTAAGTAACACCCTTTATCTGATAAAGAAGTAGAAAAACCCATTAGATAGGTTGTTAAATGGACACCACCATAATTTCTCCAAAGATTTCTATAGCAGAATTTGGATAGGCAGCTCTCAAAATTTTTGAAAGTATTTAAAATGTTAACTATTAACATTCCATTTGTAGAAGCCTTAGAATAAATGTCTACTTATGCTAAGTTTATAAAAGATATCCTAAGCAAGAAGGGAAGATTAGAAGATTTTGAGACTATAACTTTAATTAAGAAATGAAGTACAATCCTATAGAAGAAACTTCCTCAAAAGCCTTAGGACACTAGTAGTTTCACCATTCCTATGTATATCAAGAATACATTTTGCTGGAGGGCACTAAGTAATTTAGGAGGTAGATTAATATAATGCCCTTGTGCATATTCAAAAGATTTGAGTTAGGAGAAGTCCAAACTACCATTGTTACCCTTCAATTAATAAACCATTCATTTACCTATCTTAAAGGGGTAATAGAGGATGTGATAGTCAATGTAAATAAGTTTTATCTTTCCTGTGAATTTATTATCTTAGATACGGATGAAGATAGAAATATACCTATTATATTGGGTAGACCTTTTGTAGCTATTGGTAGGGTCAGGATAGCTGTGTAAAAGGAAGAATTTACATTGAGAGTGTAAGATCAAAAGTGAACTTCAATATTTAAAGTCAATGAAGTTTCCTAGGAACCAAAATGAAGATTATCATAGAGTGGATTTAGTGATTATTGCATGGAGGATTTATTGATTGAGAGTTCTATAGAGATTCCTTTGTGTGAGGATGACATCAAAGAGGGAGAAAAAAGATTCTATCCAAATTGTTGGTAACACTCCTGGAATTTTTATGGATAGGGTTGAAGTTCTTGATACATCATCCCTAGGTATGCCTTTGAAACTATCTATTAGTAAGGAACCCGTTCTAGAGTTAAAAGCATTGCCTGCTCATTTGAAGTGTGCATTTATAGGAGAAAAGTCAACCTTACCTATTATCATTTATGTTGACTTAGTAAAAAACTAAGAAGGTATGTTTATGAAGGTTATTACTGCCTATAAAAGAACTTTTTGTTGGACCATAGCAGATATTAAGGAAATTAGTCTATCCTTGTGCATACATTAAATTCTGATGGAAAAAAATTTCTTTTCAAAAGCTGACCCCCAAAAGGAGACTAAACTTTGTTATGAAAGAAGTTGTGAATAAGGAGATACCTAAGTGGTAGGATGCATTAATCATTTATCCCATTTCATAGAGTGCATGAGTTAGTCCTATACATTGCGTACAAAAAAAGGGGCCTAACTATAATAGCCAATGAGAAAAATGAATTGATACCTACTAGGATAGTTATTGGTTTGTGAATATGAATAGATTATAGGAAGCTAAACAAAGTAACTAGGAAAGACTACTTTCCCTACTTTTCATTTTTCATATGCTAAATAGGTTAGCAGGGCATCCTTTTTATTACTTCTTAGATGGATATTCATGATACCATCATATTCCTATAGTACTAGAAGACTAGGTTAAAACTACATTGACCAATCCTTATCGGAACATTTGCATTTAAGGGATGTTTTTTTGGTTTGTGTAATGTCCCCACTACTTTTTAGAGGTGTATAATGTCAATATTTCCTGATTTTTATTAAGTAGAGCATTGATATATTTATGGATGATTTCTTTACTTTTTGTACCACTTTTGATTCTTGTTTGGAGCATTTAACTATGATTTTAAAAAAGGTGTGTTAAAATAAATTTGATATTAAATTAGAAGAAATGTGAACTCATTATAGCATAAAACATAATCTCAGGACTTAAAATTTCTAAGACAGGTTTGGAAGTGGATAGGGCTAAAGTGCAAGTAATTATAAAATTTTAACCACCTATGTCTGTTAGCGGAATAAGAAGCTTTTTAGGACATGCTGATTTCTCTAGAAGATTTTTTATGGAATTTTAAAAAAATATTAAAATATTATACCATTTATTTGAAAAAAGACATCCCTTTTGACACTGATGATGAATATATTAAAACTTTTAATATTTTGAAATAACATTTAATCCCTGTAATTGTTATTGCTATACTTGATTGGATATTGCATTTTAAAATCATATGTAATGTTAGTGAATATGCTATTGGTGTTATATTAGAAGAAAATATAAGAAAATTTCATGTTATATACTATGCAAGTAAAATTTTGAATGCAACCCAATATAACTAAAGTGTCTTTGCCTTGGACAAGTTTAGATCATATTTGATTTGCACTAAGGTTCTACTTTACACTTATAATTATGCTATCAAATTCTTGATGATAAAAAAAGATGCTAAGCCTAGATTGGTAAGGTGGAATCTTTTGTTGCAAGAATTTGATGTAGAATTTTTTGATAAGAAAGGAACTAAAAAATCAAGTGCCTGGGCATTTATCTAGTTAGAGATGAAAGAACCTACATGCGAAGAGTGTGACATAAATGAATTTTTTTCAAGATGAGTACTTATTTGCTTTGCATTTATATGATATGCCTTGATATGCAAACATTGTAAACTACATTATTAGTGGTGTTATTCCCACTGATATGTCTTATATCCAAAGGTGCAAAATTTCTACAAGATGTTAAATTCAATTTTTGGGATGAGTCATTCTTATTTAGGAAGTATAAAGATCAAATTACTAGGTGATGTATCTCTGAAAATGAGATTGAGTCTATTATTAGGCAATGCCAAGATTCTGAATATGGAGGGCATTTTGAAAGATTTATAACTACTTTTAAGATCCTTCAATCTGGATTTTATTGTCCCATCCTATATAAGAGTATAAATGAATATGTTAAAAGACGTGATTAGTGTTAGAGGTTACACAACGGGAAAACACGCGAATACCGTCGGATTTTCCGACGAAAAATTCTGGACGGTAATAAACGGCACAGTTACCGGCGGATTTGCTCGACGTAAAGTTTGCGTCAATGTTTCTGGCGCAAAATACGCCGTAAAGTCACCGACGCAGGTTCCGCCGGCAACTCCGACGGTATTGGGATTCCTCAACCATTTCCGTCGCATGTTACGGC